ATTTTTTATTATTATCCATTTCCGTTTCTTTCGGCTTAATAGTCAGCACTAATGAGAGAGTAATTTTAAAATTTGTCGTAATTATGATCGTAATTTCGTTTATCAACATGTTTGCTTAATGCCAAGTTTGTATGTAACATGTCTGTTGTTGCCTTGTGTAATTAATTAAGAAAACACTTTCATTGTCATGAAACAATGCCAAAAATTGAGTTTTCAAGTGCAAAAATTTTAATTTTTAAAGAAAAATCACGAGCGGAAACTGATAGTTGGCCGTTTGAAATTTTTCACTAAAGTATCGTTTAAAAAAAAAAAAAAAAAACTTAATAATAATAACTTTAATTTATTGAAATTTATACTTCACGAAAAATCATTTGGAAAAAACTTTAATAAGCTTGACCAATATGAATTTTTAAACTGTTATTTTAAAAAATATTACCCTTAACGAATCGGTAATTTTTTAAAAACGTTTTTTTTTTTTTTTTTTTTTTTTTTACAAAAATTCGAGTAAAAATTTTCTAAAAAAAAAAAAAAAAGAAGCAGATAAATAAATTTAGAATTTTAGGTCATTACCTTCGTATCGAAGGGGAAAAAACATGGGCAAAATGATATATATACAGAATGCGACACGAACAATAAGTATTAAAATAATCCGATTATGTCCTCCTCCTCCGAGATTCGAATAGTACAGTTACCAACTTATGAAAAAATAAATGTTATACTTTTTGTCTCTTTTTTTTTTCGAAAAATAAAAATCATAAGTCATAATTTTTTTTGTGTTTGTGTTATTGTGGGTGTAAGGGACCCAAACGAAGTAACTTTCTTAAATTTTGAAACGCGCGATCGGACGTTTTATTTTTATTGAAATGATAAATTGTTGAAAAAGTTTTAAAGAAAATGGACTTCATCATGAAAAAAAAAAAAAAAAAAAATCACTTGTGCGTAAATTTTAAAGGAATCATGTTCGAAGAAAAAACGTGGGAGAAAAAACCGAAAGACGATGGAAGAAGAAGAACGAAAAAAAATCTCGTTTAAGTAATAATAATAATAATAATAATGGAATAAGGACAAAATGGATGTGGAAAACGTCAAAAAAATTTTATGAAAAGAATAAAAATAATTATGGATTCGTAAATATATACATATATTGCACCAAGTTCTATCTCGTTTCGAGAATCGAAGAGAGAGAGATAGAGAGTTTATTCGAATCGAACGATTCATCGAAGATAATTTACAGACGTGACCGATGTAAGAAAAAAAAAAAAAAAAAAATTATTTTCTACGTTTTATTACTGATTGATCAACGAAATTTATTATGTTTTTTTTTATGAATAAAAATTTTAATAAATTCATTTAACGTCGTTAATAATGAAAAAACTTGGCTTTGGATTTAACTGTTTTCAAAATGATTGTAACGTATTCGATTGTAAAACGATCAGAACAATGAAAAGATTTCAATTTGATGAAGAGTGAATTATTTGAAAAAATTATCAATACATTGAGGGATGCCATTTTTTTTTTAAAAAACGCATCGAATTACGCGTCGTAACGAACTCGTAAAAGAAAAAAAAAAGTACGAAAAAATTTCTTTTTTTTTGTCTGATGTTGCCACGAGAAATTCTTTTTTGATTTCATCGGGAACTCATCATGACTTGACCGTGGTAATATTTTTGATTATTTAACGTCTATATTGTTTTCACAACATTTACGACATGATCAATAACGTCAAATTTTTTCAATCCTCGCAATTTTCCTTTTTTCTTTTTTTTTCTTTTTTTTCACCGGTTTTCGGTCGAGTCTTTGTTTCTAAAAATATGGTTTTTTTTTTTTTTTTTTTTTTTTTTTACATCGCACACGAGATTTACGATTGTCGTATTAAAATAGTTTTAAATCATGATGGAAGACGATAAAGGCAAAAAAAAAAAGGAAAAAAAATAGGACGAAAATTGTATTTTACGATGTTAAAATACCAGGGGAAAATTCAATCATTTTTTATTTTAAAGAATACCACTTTCATTAATGGATTTTCTACCTTATCTGATTGTTATCAATGGGG